GTAAAAAATCGCCATTATACGAGGCATGGCTGAAGAGAGAGCATAAGAGCATGAGAGCACGGGCAGTGGCAGGGACTGTGGGTTGGGATCCATGTGAGGACGTTTCAAGGGCTGGGTAACATATTCAATAGCTTTTCAAAAGCATGCTTAACAGACGGCAACAGCAGCAACAATAATGCCAGAGAGCAAGAGGCAGCAAAAAAAAAAAAAAACAGAAGGGGAGAGAGAGAGTGAGTGAGTGAGAGAGAGAGAGCGGTTCAACCATCAACCGACAAACACAAACACTCAGACATTTGCATGTCAAGTCCTCGGCCTGCTGCGGGTCGCTCTCCGTACTCATCTCTCCGCTCTCTCCTTGCGACTGCATTAAAAAAGACCATGAATAAATTTTAACAGCGCTTGTGTGTTAAAGTATTTAATGCTTAAAGGCTCAGGGCCCGTCCGGCCGTGCGCCTTAAGCCATGCCACATGTTGAGGCAAGTGCCTGAAAGGAATGAGCCGCCGCTCCACGTTACGTTACGCTACGCACATGCGGCTCGCCCTGAGGACTGTCACTGATTCGGAGTCGTGTGTGTGTGTGTGTGTGTGTGTGTGTCAGTGAGTGAGTGTGTGGCTTGGGTGTGGGCACTTGTCACTTTGACAACACGTCGCCAGTGTCGTCACATCATCCACGTTGTCAACGAGAGAGAGAGAGAGGGAGTTCGCTTTTTCTTCTGATTCAGCTGCTGCTGCTCCACCCACTCTCTTCCCCCCTGTGTGTCTCGAGCATCTTAGTGATTAAGCACATAATTGGATTCATTCCGGCGTAGAAACCATCTCAGGCAACCGCTTACAATCCCCCAGCCATTGGGTGTCTTGAAAAACTTTCAAGGATATGTTTTATGTTGCTGCGGCATAGGATTTGTGGTGCTAAGCATTAATTGCCTTGCGGCTGTCAGCATCATATGTTGGCTTTGAGGCAGCAGGGACTACAAAAGTCTCCAAAGTCTGCACAATTTATAGCTGTGCTGGGGGAGAATAAAGTGACTGATGGCAGAGTGTAAATAATATCATTGATTTCTGGGCATACATTTTAGCTATCAATTGTGTATTTTTATCTCTCAATATGTGTATTTTTTGTGGCATAACTTCCACCTCTCAATTGTGGATTTTTGTGTGTTCATTTGTAGCTAAAATAAGAACGAATTTTGCATACTTTTGCCCTATTTCTTCATTAATTATTTTGGCTACAAATAAATTCCCTCAGTGTACGTACGCGCTGGCATATTCATCTGACACTGAGCGAGCAGAGCAGCAGGGATAAAATCAAGCTGAACAAAAGGCCTCATACGGTCCGCTCATGCATTGGTCAGCGCCAGGGACAGCTGCGTGGCTTAGGCACGGCTTAACGCAAAGAATACCCAATTGATTGTGTAAAATATGAAAATTTCCACATCCCAACCATATGTGAACCACAGCTGCCAGCACGGGATTGAGTGTGAGTGGGCGAGGACTTTATAATGCCATCCATGCCTGACGACTGAATTATAAATTATTCAATTTACTTAATACAAAATCAATTCTGATCAACTGGAATGGGTTGGGCATGGGACCGCTGGCAATGATTGGGGGATAAAAAATCATGACATTATCATCAGCCCAACGTCATAATAGCCATCGGAGCATGGTCGCACTTTATCTCTCTTCATGGCAGGAGTGTGTGTGTGTGTGTGTGTGTGTGTTGGATGTTGCTGTGTAATAAACATCATCATTAAATATAATTGCATGTAACAGTTACTCAGTTTCAGAGACAGAAAGACACAGAGACACAGAGCAGGAGCGGGCACTGGGAGGTTGGTTGGTTGGTGCGGCATTGTGGCTCTTGTGGCTGAGTGTGTGTGGGTGGAAAAGAACCGCATTTGTTATGCAAACGCTCATTAAAATGTTGGCCGCGTTACGCATACGCATTGTTGGCCGAAAATGAAAACCGTTTGTGCTGCTCGGGCTTTACATTACGCTCTCTCTCTCTCGCTCTCTCCCTGTCTCTGTTTGTGTTATCAACCCACTGGAATTCCATTCGATTTGTGTGATTTTCATTTTGATTTTCCTTTGCTTCCGCTGCGCTCCCACAGACATTTTCACCTGCCGCACACCCAACGTCTCTCTGCTGCTGCAAGGCCAAGCCGAGTTGAGTTGTTGCTCTGCACCGGCGACTGACATGCTGAATATTTCAGGAATTTCTTAATTGTTTAACGGCCAGCCCAGCCAAACAAAAGCAAAAGTAAAGGCACGGAAAAGAAAAGAAAATCTTCCCATTCTCAGTGCCATTGTTGTGTCCATTTTTGTGTCCATTTAATAATTCAACAAAAATCTCCTATATGTGTGTGTGTGTGTGTGTGTGTGCTCTAACGCGTGTGTGCTTATATTTTATTTTTTTAAAACAATTTCCCAAGCAAAACGACAATGAGAATGACGGCCAAGTTAGGGGTCCAGTTGCCTAGGACACAACAGCATGTGGCCCCGCACGAAACACTAGATGAAGCATAAGCAACGCAGAGCGGCAAAAACCAAGGCAGAAGAAACAACAACAACAACAAGAAAGGCGAAGCAAAACGCAGAAAAATAATAAAAAGAAATTGGACAATAAAATACAAAAATTTATGGCGTAGAGCAATCCTTTTTGGTGGCACTTCTCGAGCCAAGGGGCGGGTATTGTTGACCAGTGGCGGGGGTTTGGACATAAGAGGCACCAAAAGTCGAGCATGAACACGGACCAACGAGTGGATAAGGCGGCAACATTGTTTGTGGTGTGGTTGCAGGGTGGTGCCTGGAGAGGTTTTGCTTCGGGGGGCCCGCAAATCGTCATTGGAAACTAAACGAAAATGTTTAGTGTGATTTTTTATATATCACTTTTTGTTTTTGCTTCTTTACTCGCTCGATTTTTTGTATTTATTTATTATTGCTGAGGTTTGGCGTTTTTCCTCGTATTTTCTGCACGCAGCTGGAGCGATTTCAACAGGGTTTTTGGAGTGGAATCACGCAAAGAGTGGATTGTTTTGATCAAAGCAGTGTCGGGGAGAAGCTTATGGAGAGGAATATATTGGGAAATGGCTGGGAAGTGCATAAAAATCGTATATTAGATATTTATAAATTCTATTTATATAAATCCCTTCTTTATTTTCATTTAACAAACGCAAGACCTCAAATTTTAAAGTTTTAAATGATTTCAGCTCTTTGGGGAGGAGAAAGCAATCTAACTTTTGAGTGCTTTTCCATGTCATATAAAAGTCTCAGCTAAGACTAGAGAATTTTAGCATAATTTAATTGATGATAAAACACAGGGGAGGGCGCACATAAATTGGGAAATAGTAAAACCAAAAGTAAAACTGCAAAACATTAAAACTTTTATTAGTGGGAACAAATTTTCTTACCTGCTTTACAATACCAAAATTTGACTCAGGTTGGGAAATATTTTCTCGGTACCATTGCAGTTTTTCACAGAAATGTTTTGCCATTTGGAAAGGCAACCAAGCAGCTCGATTTTTCAAATGGCTTTCGCTGGCTCTCATCTCGTTTCGTTTCTTTTCGCATCGCTTCGATTTGGTCGTGCTCGATTTTTATTACTTTTATTAGTGCTGGAAGCTGGTAAGTGATGGCTGTTGGTGCTGTAGCTGCTGCTGCTTCTGGTAACAAATGTTTAGCAAAAGTTGTTGCCACTGCCAGTTTCATTTGAGCTGCCAGCAAAATGATTTAAGCGGGACGCACGTTCCAGCCCGCCACAGGCTATCCGCTCTGCCACTGCTGCCATTTACTACTACTGCTGGCAAGGACAAATCTCGCCAAACCCAAAACTTTATTTCATTTAATTGAAATTTTATGTAAAACATACATTTCGTTTTCCATTCTCGTTTGATGCATAGTTTTTTATGCTCGCAGCGTGGCTCAGTGGCTCAGTGGCAGCCACCAACAAAATGTGAAATATATTTGCAAGTTTTACGAGCATTTGAGTCATGTGGTTTTTTGGGTTGAGAAAAACGCTTGACCTTCGCACCCAAAATGATTTTTCACTGGCCATAAATTACATTGGCCAAAAGTTGTATCTGCTCTGGTTTTAGGGCGTGTACTAAAAAGCGCTGCGATAAGCAAACCGCCAACCGCAAATCTTTTTACTCTTACCAAACAAATTGACAAGCCATTCCTGTGCCAGACAGATAAGAGAGTGCGGCGGCGGGGGGGGAAGGAAGTACTCAGGATGTGTGGCACAAGTGAGTGTGTGTCGAGTGCAATCAACGCAATAAGAACCAAACGCCAGACAATGCGGAAACTCTGAAGTCTGAAGTGAAGTGTGATGGTGATGGCTTGTTGAAGTGTGAGTCTTACTTATAGCAACAGATTTTCTGAAAGCATGCAGATAGTTCTGCCCCACACCCAAAAATACAAAACAATCCTTTGGGCAATCTTTGTATAATTTTTATGAATTTTTATTTATATTTCTTTTGGTATTTCTTCTGCTTCTCCACATATACACACACACATGAATATGGTTAGTTTTTGTTCCTTGTTCACAACTTGACATACTTTCCACTCATTAATTAATACAATTTGATCAGTTATTCATTCAAATATTTACAGGGTATTAAACGCTCTTGAGCATTTTTGAGAATTGTTTCTATACGGTTACATTTTGTATGTTTATTTTTCTTGTTGCTTTTCATTATTTGCTAATTTTAATCGATAAAGTTTGAGTTTTTTCCACCAGCAATAAAAATTGTGGAATGCTCAGTAAGTTGTTTTGTTGTTGTTGTTAAACATTTAATTATTATAGTAATTAAATAGTTAATAATATATTTATTTATATATACTCGTATATGTAATTTAATTTTATTTTTGATCACATGTGTTATTTTTTGCCTTTTACTTTGTTGCGCCCATCGTCCTCGCCATCGCCATCGCCATCGTTTGGCTTTAAGTTTAAATATGTTTTGTATTTGTTTGGTTTTGGTTTTTTTCTTATTTTGTTGTTGGTAACCCGAAAAAAACGTTGAATCTAATCTATTAGTTGAGCTGCAAAAATTTGTTCAAATGCAACTCTCAGTTACCCTCCCGCCCGCACCCAAAAAAAACCCCACAAAAACCCAAACAAATCTTTGATGAATAAATTAAAGGATACTATTTAAGTGTATCTACATATATGTATATGTATGAGTGTGTTAGTGTAGTTTTTGTTTTTTTTTTTTATAGTTTTCTATACGCGTTTTTATGGTTCTTGAACAAACTTTTCTGCTATCTATCATATTATTTCCATGCTTAATGGGTTTTTCCTTGTGAACTTATTCGCAATTTTGGCGGGTTGAATTTGTTTTGTATGGATCTATTAATTATACAATATGTTCATTTTTTATTATTTTTTTTTCTGTTTTTGTTTGCTGCCTTCATTTTTGCTTTTGCTTTATTTGAATATTGATTAAAAGATGGGCAGTTAAGCCTTACAAATTGCCAAATGATGCAAAAAATGTGGTTAACATTCAATGCGTGCTTTCATTTTGTTTTTCGTTTTGGTTTTGGTTTTTGTCTTGGCTTTTCCAATTTATATTTACTGTAATTTTTGTTGCATATAAATAAAATACCCTTGGCTAATTAAATGTTTAATGTTAATTAACTAATTAAATGAGAATTTCATTTAGGTTTAATAACAAAATTAAAAAACGCTTTAAACGCATAACGTGTCGTAATTAAACTTTTTTTTTTCTGTATGCAGTTCGGGCTAATGAAAGCGGCTCAGTGGCTGAGATTAATGAGCTTCAATCCTGCCTCATGCCCCCTGCGATAATCGTATATAAAATTGTAACAGGTATTTTGTATTGTATTTAACTATTAGCTACTTTCCTTTTCCGTTAAACTTTAATAACTTTTTCATAGAAAAAATACTTGCTGATAAATTGTAGATTTTCCACTTGACTTTTTCTAGGGACATCCATCAGCTTTGTGGGTTTAATTTTTGCGGCTAACTGTGCTTTAGTTTCGCTATTATAGGGTTTAATTTTTTCCTAGCTTTTATGTGCTGTTCAGTATTTTGTTTCCTGCCTTTTCCTGCTTTTTCTTTAACTATTTTCTCCACACAAACTCTTGCCGCTGTCTTAGAGCTAGAGTTAAAAATAAACATGGCAATGATATTTACACAATGTAACGGCATATGGGGATGAGGAATGGTTGTGGGGGGCTGTGTGCTGCCTGCCAGTTTGTATTTGTTTATGGGCGAATGCCAGCTGTGTGCGCGTAGAAAAGTTGCCTGGCAGCAGCCACCAGCTGGCCAACTGCCCCAGGTCTGAGCGATTGCAAAAATGTCTGAGTATGTGAGACACAGGCAAACAATGCTCAACAAATACAACAAGAACAGTGCACAAAAAAAGGAGACACAGAGAGAGGAAAACTTTGTCAATTAACCTAAAACAAGTTTCACTTTACAACACGTACCGCTTGACATAATTCTCTTTGTTTTTGTGCGCTCTATTTGTATGTGTTTAATGTGTATGCATATGTATGACTGTTTTGTGAGCTTTTACATATGAAGAAATTATCACGTTCTTGGTCCTTGATAACGACAATAGGATCGGCCCATAATGTCTTCGGCTGGAATTGACTGATCAATGGGTGGCACACGCAGCAGCTCCATTTGATCACGCACCTAAAATGACAGACCAGGAAAAAACGTATGATGTGTGTGTGTGTCTTGCCTTGGTTAAAATTCAATCAGCAATTATGTGTGTCAGGCCAGCAGCTGCATTTGATTGATGAAAATTGATTGCATACGCGAAGAAGGAGAAGGAGCGCCACAGGAGCGCCAAAGGAACTGCCTCCCTTTTGCTGGCGCAACTTACAAAAGTTATTTAGCGTAATTGCCAAAGTTTTGTTTGCATTTTCAAATGCTAAAATGATTCCGCTGAAAGAGCGCTCCGCATACGAGTTTCTGTGTGTATTATTTTCCATAAATTTCGAGCGAGGCGTTTTCCTAATGAATTTCTTAGATTTAAGTACACGTCAAAAGCTGCTATTAGCAAAATTACAAAATCAATGGGCGGGCAGCCAGCATGGCTCTGTAATGGATACTTTTGTGACGAAGTTGATCGAACTGGCACAGTGGAAGAAGGCAGAGGGAGACTCGCAGTGAAGGGATTTACTTTTGGGTTAGCAATTGGCAGAGGGCTCAGAGTTTGAGTTTAAGTTGTGGCCATGCAGGAGTGGCATAAGTTTGATGGCAATTGAGGGAATTATTTTGATATAAATTTGTTGTACCTCTAGGCAAAACTTTTAGCAGTAATTTGTTGCCAAATCGCTTAAATAATTGAGATATAATATTTGCTGAAATTTGTAGAAACTGTGAAGAAATATGTTATGCATCTAGGCATACATTTCAGACACATTTCTCTGCTAATTTCTTCACTACTTAAAGGCCAACTAAACATATTTAAACTTGCCCAAATGCTGCCGTACAGCGCACACGCTTTCTCCATGATTAATACAATTCACATTGCTTCATTTTGTACTCTTTTCGAACCCCTTTTTCAGCCTCAATCAAACAGAGTTCAAAAGTGTGCACCTTCTGCCTTAACTGCTAATAATATCTAGAGTTAAATATTCATAAAGCCACATGCCAAAAACCTTAAAGGGAAAACCCCAAGCCAAGACCAGACCGTGGTAAACTTTGGAGCACATTAAATGAGGGAAAATGTTTTGTTTTCAACACCAAACACCTTTTGAGGCCGCCCCTACCAGTGGGTGTTGATGGGGCAGTGGCGGTGGCAAGGGCTGTGACTGTGACTGTGCTGTGCGCCGCGTTCCACTTCCTGTGTTTTGTTTGCCATACAACAATCGAATTTACGACGTTTTTTTTTATGAGGCACAAACAACAATAAAACGTCAGCTTTGGCTCAGTCATTGCACTTTGTGTGCAGGCCTAGGCCCACCCGTGCCGCCCCCTTGGAAACTTTGTGCTTTTTGCCTTTTGGCTAGACTCTTCCGGCCTTTGAGCCGACTGCCATGCTATGGCCCCTCTCTCTCCCCCTTCAATACGAACGAAAAGCAGAGAGCTTCTACAGTTACAGTTTGAGTGAAAAGTTCAAAGCGTAAAATGAATGTTGAAGAGTGCCCCACCCTCGGCCTCATCTAACGCATTTTCCCACAGCAGGCCAGGCCAAAGCCAAATCAATTGTAAGAAGGTCAGGCTCAGAAACACAGGACAGGGCAGGCGCAGGAGCAAAGATAGATCCCCACACAAGGCTAGCAAAAGATATTTAAATGAATTTGTCTCGCACAAATTGCTGCCATTTGCCCATGGCCCCGGAGAACAGGGACTGGGCCCCGGACTGGGCCGCCACTTGGGCGATGTGTCGTGCCAAATGCCGTTCTACGCTCTCGCATTAGATATAAAAGGATAAAATAAAAGATACATTTACACAGACACAAGCAGCTGAATGGACTGGATGTGGATGGTGGGGGCCTGGCCTAAAATCCTTGACTTTTCTGCCGCCTGCCGCTTGCCTTTCTGCCTCTGCTGCTGCTGCTGCTTTTGTGTAGATAAAAACTGGCGTCAAGAAAATTATCATGTTCATGGGCTATGGGCCATGGGCTACCAGCTGTCCCGCCGCCCCGCTGCCACCACCCACAAATTTGTGGCAATTGCTGTTTGTCTTTAAGGTCCTTGGGAATGTGTTCTCAAAACCCGTTTCGGGTTACACCAAGCGGAACTCAGATCAGTTGCTGGTTTAAATTTTGTCATAATTTATTGAGTCATAAAAATGCTGAAAAAATGTCATAAAAAATTGATCTCCTTATGGCCATTGAATGGCTTTAGAAAACTATGAGAAACTATGTGGGAGAAACTGTGAGAAAATTGTGGAAAAACGGTGACAAATCTCTGTAAGTGAGGCGAAAATGTTTATCGGAATAACCCGCCGCCTTTTGGCCTATGACTGAGTGCGTGTCCAGCTTGAAAGGGTATTATGGCAGGGCAAGTGTGTGTGTGTGTGTGTGTGTGTGTGTTTGCTGTGTGCTTTGGTGTTCGAGTTGGCAATCATTAAAATGGCCTTTTGCCTAATTTCTATGACTTGCTTAATTATCACAGCTACAGCCATGACCGGCAGAGTCCCCTGAGTACACACAGAGGGAGAGCGAGAGCGAGAGCGAGGCCCGAAAAACAGCATTAAGCTTCTAATAATTGAACATTTGACCCGCTTTTCGTTTATTATTTAATTGCATTACGAGTCGTCGCCGCCCCAGGGGCGAGGATTCAGCTGGCGACGCCCCTAAGTAGGCTACAAAATAAATTTCTGGATACCAGAGCTGCAGTTCAATGAACTCGGGGACAGAGAGCCCCTCAGGGCCCTGGGCTCTGTGACTTGGTCAGATGCAAAAGCAAATGTCATTTTGGTTATATATTATATGGGGGGGGGGGGCCTTAATCCTCGCGGCGCTGCTGCTCGCTGGGCTTTTGGCCAAAGATAAAAGGCGTTGGGTAACGTTTTTAATTACTTTTTACCACACAGAGCACAGAAACACACACAAATAAAATAAAATAAAAATAAAAATAAAAAGAGAAAATACGGCAACAAACAGAAACGTATTAAAATACAATTCTTAATGAGTATTATGGCCATGTAATAAACAGCAGTAAAAATATACAAACACACACACACAGAGACATTGGAGGGGTTCCTCTATATGGGTTTTACTTGTCTGCTGAGTGCAAAATGCCATAAAAACTCGGACAATTTTAATCAGGCCGCTGCAAATAAGGCAATACTTTTTCTCGCACCCCGTCATCCACTCACTTGTCCTTGCCCGCCATTATGGGGTAAGTGCGCACTGTAATCACAGACGGACACTAAGTATTCTGCTGCTGCTTTTTATTTCTCCCCAACTAAAACTAATTACAAACGACTGTGGGAATATGATTAAAGTTTTTGCGTGGTCCACGGTCGAGACAAGAGCTAAATTAAAAAATGCTGCGGCATCTCTTTCTCAACTTTGAGCCAAAGGCTGTGCTGTGCGGGTGTTGGGGTGGGGCACTGGCAACCCTTGGGTCGGAGGTTTTTATAATCAGCAAAAAGCAATAAAAGCGACAACCACGACGACCGACTAGCGTTCAAGGGGGGCGCATGATTTATATTTGTTATTAAATCTTTAAATTGGTTTTAGCAGCAGCAGAAAGGAGGAGCCCAACCCAGAATGGGAATATTTTAACTATTTTGATTTAGAGCCAACGCAGAGAGAACTGCAATCAAGATTGGCCTCCGCTTTCCCTCTCCAACTTATGCACAATTTTTTCTTTAATTTATAATTTAATTAGCCCATCAATGGGGAGACATAAGTCCCGTCTGAAGTCCCGCTTGGAGGAGGCTACTGTCGGGCAAACGTTTAGCCAAGCATCCATCGAGCCATCGAAGCCATTCGACTGCAAAACAAACCCACTTGCTGGCAGTGCCTTTTGAATGGCACTAACCCACACTCGAGTGGCATTCAATGCACGGAGGAGTAACTCGCTCAACCCCCCGCATTGATCTAAATTGAAAGCTGCTTGAGCCGCCACAGACACAGACACAGACACAGACACGGGCGAGAAAAGAAACAGAATGGCAGAACGGAAAGCCAAAACCCAATAGCATTCGCAGTGCACTCTTTGCACTGTGGCAGCTGCATATGATGAGTAAAAGGGATGCTCCTTGTGGATCCTTTGGCATTCGACTTGGAGCAGACGGCAAACAAGCTTCGACCGCATCCTGCAAACAAACTGCAGATTCTGCTGGGGGAACCTGAGGAGCTGCCTCTGCTGCTCGTGTATAAATATCGGTATAAGCGAGAGAAAATCCTTTTAAAATTATTTCACAACTTGCGTCTTTTCGACGCCCAAGCCAATGTCCTGCCAGCTCTAGCTGCAGCTCCAGCCTTAGCTTCTGCTTTCATTTTTTGTCTCTAGTTTTGCTGCTGCTTCCATTCCAAGTATGTGCAAATTCCATTGCAAAGCCACATTATTCCCTTTTATCCTTGTGAAAGGAATTTCCCAACTGTAATAACAACCAGCGGCCGGGTCTGGCAATGTCCTTTTTGCAGGCGCCTTTGTTTGTTTGCCGCTGAGCAATGTGTGTTATGTGTGTGTGCCACTAGCCACAGACTTCACAGACTCTAAGTCGGTCAGGTACGCGTCTGACACGAGAGGAGACAGCAGCCACATATGTACGAGAATACTCTCAAATTCTAAGCTCTTGAAAATGCCTCTCTATTTTATGTTTTAAACCAACAATCAGGAATCAAGCTGCCATATAATTCAAGTGATTAGAAAATCCACTCTACCCGCAGGCCGTAGGAGCTCTCAGCGACACATTTCTCAGGCAGTGTATCAGGGCATTCCTCGGGGAGCAACCAAAACGTTGAACAATTGAAAAATACCAGCAGAAAAGTGGAAGCAGAAAAAGTGCTAGCCATTTTCAATCCATTTTGTTTGCCTGTTGTACTCACCGCTTCGACTTCCTTGAATACACGTATGAGATTCTTGCCAGCCAACTTGGCAATATCCTCCTCCGACCATTTATCAGACTCGAGCAGGGCGGCAAAAAGATGCGGATATTTGGACACATCCTCCAGTCCTTTGGGTACTCTGCAAAGCAAAAGCAACAGCCACAAAAGCAAACGATAATTCGGAATGAAATGTAATTGAAGTGCAGCTCTTGTTGTACTCACAAGTTGACTCCATCGTAGCCAGCACCAATGCCCACATGATCGATGCCAGCCACCTCCCTTATGTGGTTGATATGCGCTGAAAGGGCACAGAGCAGGGATGCAGTAGTTTAAAGATTAATGTTGCCCAGAAACCAGACACCCAAAAGGATGCGACCCCTACCCCAAACCTACCAACAACATCGTGCAGTGTTGCCTGTCCCGAGCAGCTGACGAAATGTGGATAAAAGGCGACCATAACCAGACCGCCATTTATTGCCTGCCAAACGAATGGAACATGTTACTCGGGCATAAGGATTATAAATGCCTTTCTAATGGACTTACAATGCGTTGCAGCACATGATCGGGCACATTGCGGGAACTGTTGCAAATGGCATGCGCCGATGAGTGCGAGAAGATGAGCGGCGCCCGCGAGGCAGCCAAAGCGTCCAGCATTGTGGGCACCGACACATGCGACAGATCAACAATCATGCCCAGACGATTCATCTCCTTGACCACGAGCTGTGCGGGGGAGAGGGAAGGAAAGAGAGAGACAGAGAGTTTAAAGCAGATTTTGGAGGGGTGATTGTGGCGCATTTTAAAGGGTTTTGGTTGAACATTTTGCAGGTTGTTGTTGGGCAATTTTTAAGAGTTTTTTGAGAGTTTTGCTGGAGCATCTTTAAGGCTTTTGGTTGGACGTCTTTAAGGCCTTTGCTGTTGAAATGTTCCTGCCTTTGGTCAAAGTCTTACCTTGCCAAACTGCGACAGTCCGCCAATGTGTGGATATTTCCCAGGCTCGTCAACTTTGCAGCAGTCCGCCCTGCAAGCAAAAACAAAAAACAAATCAAATCACAATTCTGGCAACACTTCCCTCCCCCCGCCCTTTTCCCACTCACCAAGGTGTATTGCAGGTGTGTGTGAGCGTCAAGTAGCGCGCGCCCAGCTGATAGAACATACGCAGAACACTGAGACTGGTGCCAATGGCATGGCCGCCCTCCACGCCTATCAGGCTGGCTATCTTGCCCGTGCGATGTGTCTGCTCGATGCCCGTGGCCGTCGTCACCAGGGCCATGTGATGCGGATAGAGCTGCACGAGGCGGCGTATCAAATCGATTTGCTCCAGCGTCAGCTGCACCGCATCCAGATGCTGCGAGGAACACGGGGCGTAGGCAGACCAAAACTGAGCCGAGACCATGCCCTCCTTGAGGCGCCTCAGATCCGTGTGGCTCCAGGCACTCGAGGACCAGGGCGCGAGCTCCCGCAGATCGCCACCGAAGTGGAAGTCCTTTAGCTGATTCTTGAGGAATTTGCGTATGTTCCAGGGCAGATCGTTGTGCCCGTCGATGAGGGGCACCTCCTTGAGGACATTTCGCACACGTTGCATGCGATAATCGAAATCGTCGCTGGCCTTGCCGCCCGCGTTGCCGCTGGCGCTGGCGCCGGCCGCGGCACTCGCCGAACATTTCAGTATGGGCAGGACGAGCGGGAAGTACACAAAGGTCAGACAATTGAGGCCACAAAGCACGAAGCCCTTTGGCAGCTTCCGTGATTTCATTGCCCCGCACGTGGAGCGTGGCGCTCTAGCAGTAGAGCCCAGCAGTCGCAGCACTCACATTGATGATGTTCCACCAAGTGCTAGCTGGGGAAGAGCAAGTTCGAGTTAGTCAGCGAGTTGAATGAAGCGGCTAAGAGTTTGTTTTAGTTGCATGTGCGGCATGGGCCTCGGCCTGTGGCTGTGTGGCGTGATTGAGCCATTGAAAGTTGCTTGGCAAACAAATGTCATAAATATGTAGCGCCCACAGGGCTGTGCCAACCCCACAAAAAAACCCCACAGTAAATCCTGCACACCCATAACTCCCACAAAACATAAATAAAACTTTTCAGATTTATTTCAGAGCCTCAAAAACTTCAAATCGAAATCGCGCTCACAGAAAATGCACAATAAAAATGCAAAAATTATTTATAGCAAAGTTTCCACAGCACTTTTGGATTTGTTTTTTGTACTTTTAGCTAAACAAAACTCAAAAAAAAAAGAGAGAAATCATAGAAAATTTAAATAGTTTTGCCCCCCCCCCCCCCCCCCAAAAAAAAAAAAAAAAAAATTAAATATTATTTTTTTTTTTTTTTTTTTATAGTGTAAAAGTATTGTTGGGTGGGTGGGGGANAGAGAGAGAGAGGTCCAAGTATTTGCGGAAGAAATTGGAAGCCCCCGTGCCGAATGTGTGCCAAAGCCGGATACTGAGACTTTTTCCAGAGTTTATTGAGATATTTATATATTCCTGTGTGCCAGTGAAATTAAAGTTTTGTGCCCAAAAACAGGTAAAACTAAAACTAAACTACTTTAATAGTTTTCAACACATAAGTCAGGCCACGACTAATGGCCAAAAATGCAAATGGAAGCCAACTTGGGCGCACAGGAAATTCGATTCAATTTTTTTGGAGCTAGTAAACAAAGCACATTGGTGGCAAATACTCGTAAATGTGGGTTAAATATACACAAATTGAGGGCACGAAATTGCAAGTTTTCGTTGAAAAATGTATTCTTAAATAATTTCTCGATATTTAATCGATATTAAAAGCCATAAAGCATCAATGAATGCCCCAGCCAAGTGCTGTGATTATTTTTATAATTCTATCTGATAAATTGTTATATAAAAAAAAAGCTTTTTGAATCAGTTTAGAGTAAAATAATTTGCATAAGTTAAAAACTCTTTTGGTAGCCAAACGTAGGGCAAAAATATGAATATAGAGGGCTGCAGCCGTAAACCTTTTGTTGTCATAAAATTTTACAAAAAATAAATAAAAATAGCGCCAGATTGAAATATTCACTGCTTGACTCTTTAAATATAAGTAAAAAAAAAACCTTAAGTAAGTATTTTAAGTGCCAGAGAAAAAACCCCAACATTTTGTAACATATTTTTAAAGTTAAAGCCTTAAAAAACCCAACGTTTTGTTACGAGTTTTTAGGTTTTATTTCATATTTTGTAGTGACTATGTTAACACTTGTTTTGTGCACATCTTGAGGGTATTCTTTTTGGGTTTATTTTTCATGTGGCAACTGTTGGGTGTGTGCAGCAGCAAACAGGAGCCATACGCAACAGGGGCACTGGGAAGGAACGGGGCCAGGACTGGGATGGGTAAGTGGAATCCGTATGCTGATTTTCATGCTTCGATGCTTGCGAACAAAATGAAAAACATTCCGCTGTGCAATATCTTATCCAAGCTCTGCTCATGGTCTACTTCTTCGACATTTGTAGCTGTAGCTGTAACTGTAGCTGTATGTGTATCTTTATCTGTCCCTCTATATGTATCTTCAGCTGTATTTGTATCCCTGCTGCTTCTGCATCCTGTTTTTTGCTGCTGATTGAGGTTCGCTTCAACAAATTCTCTGCTCTTGCCATTTGATGGAATTTTCTGCTCTTCTCTCTCTTTCTCTCTCTCTCTCGATATTTTCCTGAACTTTTGCTGCTGTCTGTCTGTGTGTCCTTGAGCTATCTCTGGTCGTAGAGAAATTATGCAAAAATCAACAGGGGACAAAACGATAAGCAGGAAATGACAACATTGACAAGGGCAACGCGCCACGAATATAATTTTGGGCCCCTGCACAAAACGTGACACAAACGCAACGCACGAATTATTAATACAGCGAGACAGTGGCAGGAGCAGTAGCAGGAGCAGGAGCAGGACACGAAGGGCAGCCAAATTAGACCCAGTTGGGGTTAACAGGAAGAGCGGGCAGAGGGGCAGGCCCCAAAGTTGCTTTGCTCCATGAAATCGAAAACGTTTGGCGCTTCATTAAACATTTATGCGGGGAAAAACGAAGCGGCAAACAAACCCGAAATTAGGAGCCGCAATATAGCGGATATTTAATTAAATTGAAGGGCACTCTTGCTGTGAAGTACAGGGAATATTCGGGAAGATCAATGCCAGCAAATAAATTGCAATGTTGTAAACAAGCGAACCACAACGATCAAATGAATGATTTAAGCATTATTGAAGCAGATTAAACATGAAAAAGAGTCAAAAAGAGTTAATAATTTGTGCGAGTTGGCAGTTGGCAAGCAGCAAACAGACCGCACTCCGGGCAGCAGCCAGAACGCGCCAGAAATGGGCGCACAACGTTGCGTATGTGCAATGTGCGGGTAGGGGGTTGTCTTTATGTTTTTTTTTTTTTTTTTTGGTTTAAGTGGCATGCATGGGCGTAGGGCTGTGCCAGAACGGATAGGGACAGGAACAGGGCCTGACAGGGACATGGACTGAATCGTACATTTATTGCAACATGAAACATTATTTTGCATGGCCTCAAAAAAAGGCAGAAAAATAAATGGGAAGCAGCAGAAAGAGAGCGAAAGATAGAAGGGAAATGGCACTGGCAAATGTGATACGGCGGGGGGGTGGTTGGGTGGTTGGTTGTTCCGGAGTAGTCGTGTCCGGAGTGCGCGCGCGTTGGGAAAATTGCAGTAAGGAAATGCAATGTCCTCGTTGCAGTTGGAATTTCCATGCAAAGTGGCAAGCGAATAAATATAGCAAAGAAAAAAAAAAGGGAATGCTTTTCTTTTCTACATTAGTGAAGCATTTAAGGAAGTTGCACACAGACTGAGCGACCGACTGTCTCCCCCCCGCCTGCGTCTTTAGATATTTGCGCGCTGCGAGTTTGTCGTCTTTCATTTCCATTTTGTTGCCTCAGAACTTCAGCAGCAGCAACAACAACAGCAGCAGCAGAGAGCGACAAAAAACGAAAGGAAACGTGCCGTAAACTACAGCAGACAATCAAAATTCATTCATGTGCGCTTATTTTACGTTATTTATAATCAAACCCCGCAAATGCCCAAGCTCCGTCCTCATCCTGTGCCCCATTCATGGGCGCCGGCATTTTCCATTCATTCAGCTCTAAATTCCATTCACTGCGAATTGTAGCAAAACAGTCGATGTGAATGGACCAAAAGGCAGCCAAGGAAAAAGCTCCACTCCGCCAAAGGAACCGCCTTGCTGCTGCTGACACCCCCCACTGGCGGGTGTGATAAGGCTTCTGGCGAGGCCTTTCAGCAATTTTTGGCTCCTACTCATTCAATTTAACAAGCATACAAAATATATACAAGGTATTAATAAGGGTCTGATCACGGGAGCAGGGCAAAAGAAGGCAGGGGAATGTGGTGGAAGGAAGTGGAAGTGCAGGAATATTCAGTAAAAATGTTTCAGAAGCTTGTTGGACAACTGCGGATCGTGTGCACAAGTTTGAGGCTCAAAGAAAAATCTAGGAATATTTTAAGGAAACTTGTAAACATTGTAAATTAATTGTTAGATTTTAAATTTAATTTTTTTTGCATCATTTTTATTGAAAATTGTTTTAAAATATTGAAGAAATATTTTAATTAAATAAGTAAAGAATATTTGTGCATACTTTTCGTCAAAGAGGAATAAGAAATATGTAATTATTTATATAATGAAAAAATATAAATAATAGAAAATATACATATATTTTTGTGTATCTTAAAATTTGTTTTAACATTTCAAAGAAGATCTTTCAAGTAATAAAATATCTTCAAAAATGCACACACAAAATTCCATTAATTTTGAAATATTATTCTTCAACATAAAAACTCCTCCAAATGGACATTCTTCCTGGAGTAAATAATATTGAATTTCCATCATTATGCCAAATGGCCATTTGAAAGGCTTTCCCAATGCCTTTTGCCTGCCACCCTTAAAAATGTTTTCCCCATCAAAATCATTGCAAATGTGAAAGTTTTCCCATACGAAAGTATGACATAAATTAATTGAATGGAAGCCCAACCAACGACAGAAACTGGGACTCATATGGGAAAAAAAGAAGGAGAAGCAACGAAAAAGGAAACTTGAACAAGGATGCTCGATGTGTGCTCTTCTATGTGTGTGCTTTGGTTTATTGTGTGTGTTGCCTGCTCTTTGTGCGCTTTCTTTCTCTCTGGGCAGTAAATATGCGCAACTGAACGCAAAAATTGTGGAGAATGCCTTTGAGGGGCCACCAACCACAACCAATACAATGACACACGGCCAATGGTTAACGGTTAAGGACCCTGAGGCATGCGAAATAGCACCAAAAATGAATTGAAATTATTTTACAACATTTTCATGTTGCTCCGTTCCTTGCCATTTGTTTGATTTGCCTTGCCCTTCGCTTTTGCCCCTTGCTTTTGCCCTTTGCAATTCCTCTTTTGGGTTGTTTTTATTTCTCCTTATTTCTGCTTACTCTTTCTGTATGCATAATTTATGCTCGAGCTCAGGCCAATTGCGGGGAAAGCGATGGTGTCCACTGAGGAGAGAGGAAGGGCCAGGCAGGGAGAGCGACTGGCAAGTGAAGTACAAGCTCAAGTACAAAAATGTTGACCTAGAATAAATGTACATTTTTATTTTGCGGCAATCCACAAGTACACTGAAACAGAAATGTCCAACAGATGTCCAAAAAGTACGTCCATTAGTAGACGTAAAACAAAAGAGAAAATTCGTATTTTTTTAGCGGTTTTTTTAGTGCAAGTCAGCCAGAGAAAATATAATTCTAGGCAGATTAAAAGTGTCGTGGGAACACTGCAATTTCCATTGTTACTCTGTAAATCTTCTATTCTTATCACAAAAAGAGACAGAGAGACACTCAAGGACACAAGGCAATCTCTGCCTTAAAGTACAATCCAAATCTAATACAAGAAACTTATTTTCTTGTATGTTAAACCCATCAAAAATATACCTTTAGAAGTGCATAATCTGCCTTGAGAATTCCATTATAAAGTAATTATTCAAACTCTAATGTTCTCAGCCGCATTTGTTGAAATTCCTAAGTGGTTTATAACAGAGTTTTGAGTATGCCAAAGGCGGTTGCCCATCCCATTCTGTCTTTCTTCATATTATTTCAAGCACTCAACAGCTGCACAGGAGAGCAGACTCCTCACACACAATGGCAGCTACCAAACACTTGCAAACCACAATTTGTGCCATTTTCAGAGATTGCCAAGAGAGAAAGAGAGGGAGAGGAAGAGTCCATTCCTGCTGCAGCATGCCACAAAAATTCAAATTAAACAAAACGCCGTTGACCGACAGCACTCATAAACACTTTGTTCGAAAAGCAGACAAAAATTAGAAATATCAAGTAAAAACAAACTAACAAAAACTAATGGCAATAATCGAATATGAAATACCCAATAATGTTATTTATTCAAAGATTTATTGAGGACTTCAGCTTATTGTGATGATTCCTGGCAATACTGCTGTTAATTATCTTTTATCTATCCCATGCTTTAAATGCTGTGAAGAATAAATATGAATAATATGTGCAGCAATTTGTTTCTGGACATACATTTTGTCCATTTATCCCTTTGATTTGTGTTGGATATGACAGCTAAGAATAGTTCTACACAAAATGCAATCATGATAATTATAACCCTTCCTTCCTACTCACAAAAAGCCACTCGAACATGCAACTATCAAATCAGTTATACCTTCAGTTTCCCAGACCCTAATGGGCACAAAAAAAAAAAACAAAAAAAAGGTAACAAGCATTTACAAATGGCACAAACAAAAGCTATCGAAATGTGACTAAGAGTTTCGGTTGTGGGTTTTGTGTGTTTGGGTTTGAGTTTCGGATTTTTGGGTCTGGGGGGATGGTTGGCGGTTTGTGTAGCAAAACCCGAGTTCAAAGCAAATTGTTGCGGAAGGCAAGAATCAGCATTATCATCAGCAGTCGGGAAGCTGCTCGGTTGCTTATAGGATACTCATTCTCCGACTCATTTTGGGGGCCACAAATGCAGATGAGAAGACAATGGGTGTGGTGTGGTGGTGGAGAGGGACAGGGAGAGGGAGAGCTGTGGGAGCGTCGCCTGTCGCATATTAATGAGGGGCATGCCGACAGCAGCGCCGCTGCCATCAATTTCTCAATATTAACATAAATCTGCATATGAAGTGGATGCTGTATCATTATGTATATGGAAATACACTCTATGACCCCCATAAATTCTTACCAAAACTGCTTAAACTATTTAACATTCTTTTTGTTTGTTTTGTTTCGTTTGTTTGCTCTTCACGTTCTTTTATTTTTGTGGCTTAAATCTCACTGTTTCGATCTCTTTCATGCACTCCACTTTCCATTCACATAATAATTATTAGAATTATTTCGCTTTTGCTGTCGCCACGTTGGGGCAATACGTAACGTAATCGCGCAAACGAAACGCAACGGCAAACGACAAAACGGGAACGCAAGCAACACGTGTGGCTGGAGATATACCGAGCGATTGGGCACACTACTCGACCGGCCGACGCAGGAATTCCAACTGAAAGCAGCCACGACGGATGCCACTGGGGCAAGCACTCCCCAAAAAGCACTCCCACGAAGGCGCACACGTACCGCACGAAGGCCCACAGCCGAGTGCCAGTCGCCCCAAACGAGAGAGAGAGAGAGATAGAGAGAGAGAGAGAGCAACGCAAGGACAACAAGGAGCAGTGTGGCTGTGGCTGCTGCGTTAGATAAGAATGCGTCCAAAAAAACCCCAAAAGGAAACCTATATTTTTGTTATGCTTTCTTGTGTGTTTAAGGCGGAAACTATCCACCGATTACTTACTTCAAAGTATCTCATTTAATTTATATCAAGCTCGCAGTTGTTTAGCGTTAAGCCTGGGAGTACATTAACCTCTTCGCAACAAAGCCAACAAAGCAGCGTAAGTGTGCCAGGAGCATAGCAATTGTGAGAGAGGGAGAGCGGGTACGTAGAGAGAGTACTTTTACTCTTTCACTCAAAATAAAGCAGTGGGAAAGTTCACGGTTGGAAGCCGAAGCGTTAATGTCCTTAGATTGGGTTTTTTGACCGCTTAGCTGGGAATACATTTAATGTTTTAACTATCCCATTTCTATTTCGATTCAAAGGGTGACCGATTCTGTCCTTTATCATTGGAAAAGTCTAGACTGTAAATTCATTTTGAGAGATAGAGTTATGGCCATATAATAACCCCTCTACAGGCTCGGGAATTTATAATCTTTATGTTTCCTTATCAGCTGCCTGCTCTTCTTCCCAAGCACTCCACCAATTCAAATATACCCTCTCAACGTGCACACAAATACGGGGAAATGTCTGCGCTCTCCATCAGCTGTTGGCGCCTTCTGCATTTGTGTTCGTGTGCGAGTTGAGTCCTTTAACATTGGAGGAGGTCAGGCATGGCGTGAAGTCAGTCGCATGCCCCCTCATCATTTGCACCCCCCTTTTCGTTTTTGGCGTTGCTGCGGCACAGTGAAAAAATCATGCACCCCTCGAAGTAAAGCAGGTCGCTTGGAATAGGGCTGCAAATTCCATGCATTAATTAATTAAATAAATATTAGATTAACAGGGGCTGTCAGAGCAAAGAGTCTTTAGTGGAAAATTACACAGTAGAAGAGGAAAAATGCTTAAAGCCGACAAAAAAATAAAGAAAATTAACCTTTCGGCGATTCAAATTTACCATTTTACCCGCCAATCACCCAAAAGCTCGCAAGCAGTGGAAAGCTTGCCAACACAGACTGTCACCCACCCACGTGGTTCGTTTTCTGGCTAAAAGCTAGCTTTTGACTGTTTTCAACGCTTTGCCACACATCTGTGCTTGGAAACTTCTCAACACGTATCGGGGACGACCTCTAAACAACCTTTTGACGCGCACCGTTCGCCCGTCAGCGGCGTCGGCGGCGACAGCTGCCTGCTGCTCGCTTGTTTCACTTTGGAATTTCACGTTAACGCCGACGCCGTCTTCAGCTGCGCAGCACAGCAGAGCAGATCAGAGGCAGAGGCAGCCACAGCAGCGATTACAGACCGAAAATAAAAGCGTTGAGCTCTCTCCTCCAGTGCAGCAGCAGCAGCACACCCAGCCAGACGAAATTTCCCCAGATTCAGTCTCCAGTCTTCGGTGAGTGGGTGCCCCCCAGTGCGACAAGTGATACAAATAATCTGAAAATAAGTGACAAAAAATAATAATAAAGTGAGCCATCGAGGAGGTGCATTCGAGATTCGGTTATTCGGGCTGCAGTCTCGTAATCTTCAATGGGAAATTTTCCATTCCGTTAGACGGCTGTTTCGTAATCATTACAAAATATTCCCACTCGTGTTTCTGAGTGTGTGTGTGTGTGTGTGTATGCGATGGGATTTATTTGAACATTTTCAATGAATTTATGACATTTTCTAGAACTCTGAGTTGAAGGAGCTTTCTCTACTACAGTAGCTCCTCTGCTGGAACGACACCCCTGTCGCTGCCTGCTATCGGGTAACAGCGGTCCACTCGAAGGCAGTTTTACGACCGGCTCAACCGGCTCTCTTTGCTGCCACACGTACGGTGGGAGAGAGAGTACGTGTCTCTCGTTCTCTGCTTTGCGGTGCTTGAGCTCATTTGGTTATTGGCAAAGTTTCAACTGCAATTTGTAGTCGCGGCTGCGGTTTTTGTTCTTTATAAATAGTTGCCGCAAAATGTTAAATATTTGTTTTTACATATAAAATCTATATCTTTCGTTTAGGTTTCAATTAGCCAACGTCATCGCCAGTTTTTTTTGGTTTGTTGACACTCTTCTGTTGCCTTCACTCGCGCTTTTTACCTTTTATCTTTTGTATTCACCTTTACGGTTGGGTGGGAGAGCTGCATAAGTTTACTGTAAATTACGACAGTATGCGAATATGCGTAATCGTTCAAAGAGCAACAAACTGAGATATGAGATCTTTAGCTACGTGAGAGAGAGCGAGAGCCCGCAAGCAAGAGAGTAATAGGAAGTGAGAAAAAGAGAGGGGCAGCCAGCCAGCCAGTAGGGGTGTTTGTCCGATAGAAACAAGTTTTCGAGCAGCAAAGACTTCCTCACTTTTTGAAGGTCAACCCGAGGTACATACAAAATAATTAGATAACAGATAAACTAGAACTGGAATGAATGAAGTTTTTTAAACCTGTGACTGCAGTTACTCCAATAAAAATCTCCAAAGAAATTTTGCTCCAAAGGCAATCGTGTGGAACGAATCGACTTTGCACTGACTTACTCCCATGAAAATTTGACCTCAGACTCTTTCCGTATTTCACTTGATGTTGTACATTCCGTTTTTTTCGCTGCACTCTTTGTGCATCCCATCCCATAAGACATAGGCGATGAAAGAGGTCAAACAATCAGAGTAGATAGTGAGTGAGCAAGAGAGAGAGAGCGAGAACTTTTCTCAGCTGTTGCCTACCGACAATTTACAGTTTCCTACAATGTCCCCTCCGCTTGACGTCAGTTACATCAGCATCTCATGTGGTTCTTATCAACGCTGCGTGGATCGTGGCTGTTCTTTTGACCCACTGTGTCGTCTTGAGAGGCCGGACCTAAAATCTCGTTATGATAATGTTCGCAGAGACCTTTGGAACGGCTGTACGGCTGTCGTGGGGGGCTTGTTTTTTTGTATAGCAGATACAAGCTCCTCACCAAAATGTTCCACAAGAAGACACAAGACACTGTTACTGTTTGTTTTTTCCAGTTCATGTAGTTTCATTTTTTTTCGTTGCTCGTTTTATCAGCTTGTTTTTTTACACACACACAGATACGCCCAATGCTCTGGCGACACATGTGTCTGTTTTTTTATTTATTTTTATACCAGTTCCTTGATAGCAACGTAAATTTCTTTTGATTGGTTTCTTTGCTTCCATCTCTTCTTTTCTTATATATTTCTCCGATTTTCGGGCAACGTTTCATTCCTCGTTTAATTGCCGGCCCGTGTAGGTGTGTATCTGCAGCGCAAATCGGTTAAAGATAGATTCCGCCAGCTATCTATTGAATGTGTTATACCATCTAGTGTTATATGGTGCTATTTTATTGTGTGCTGTGATAGAACATTGTTTTTGACACGTTTTGCTGGTCTTATCTATAGATTTGGTATTTCCCTCTCCAGTCCTTGACTCAATGTCAATGTCAAACAAGTCAAAATGTATCCCTGGAATTGAATTGTAGCCAAATTCTCTGGCTATATGTATCTTTTTTTCTGTCCCCCTTCCTAACCCCGCTTTCTTACCCCAAACTCGCGCGGCACGACTTTCGGTTTTCAAAAATTTCGCTACATGTTTCATAAGCAACACGCAGCAGGCGACTCTGGCAACATGCTGCCAGGCAACATTGTTGCTTGACCTTGTTCAATGTCAGCCCGAAAGCAGCTTCGGCACATGCGCACGCCCACACGTCCAGCAGGCAGCAGGCTAAAAGTGAAAGTTTCGACGTCACGCATTATGTGGGTGATAGAAAGAGATGCACACAGCCTAGAGAGCGAGCGAGAGAGGGAATATGTGTACGGATGCGTGTCCCCTCCAGGGCTTTGCCTTTGATTACATCAGAGGTTGACAACGAAAGAGCTTCCCCGACTTTGTTCAGTTAATAAAAATTCGTCGTCGAGGTTGGTTCACACTTCACTCTGTCTCTCTTCCTAAACTCCTCTCTTTGGTTCTGAACAAAACTGTGCTTCGGTTTTATAATTATTGTTGCTGAAAATAGCTGAAAATATTAAATCAAGCACGGCTCAGCTATAGTTACACAGTGCAGTGATTTATGGTTTGCTAAATATAGTTTTGGTTAATTATTTTCACTTGAAAAAAAAAGCTGAGCAACATTTTGTGTGTACGTGAAATGTTGAGGGAGACGGAGAGCGCACACGCGCTATCGCGCTCTCTTTGCTGCTTTCTGCTTGCTGCTCTTTGTTCTAACTATCAGCTGTGTATTACACTAGTCAGCATAGAAGTTGAGTCATCAAGCAATGTAATCTTTGGTGTTAGCAAAGATGTTGGATAAGATTACGAGGATATATTTTGTGTTTGGTAACCAGATACACATATTAATCCGCGAATTTATTTCAAACCCAAGATCTCAGAGGTAGATTTACTTCTATGACAGCCGCGCAGTAAAAAATGATTCAGCCACGCCTTTTTCTGAACTCTCCCCATAGACTGAAATTATACAAAATATTTCTGTAAACCTTCCAAATCATCTCAAATGCAGCCTTCGCTTTAGTTGTCTTTTCTATTGTACACATAAATCTATCAAAATTTCGTACACCTCCCCGAATTAGCTGGTTAGGCACCGCGTTCACACAGAAGCCGTCAAAATTCTACGTTTAGGACTTGCTGTGGTGGCTGGCAAGCCGTTGCAGAACCCATGTATACGCCTACTAACATGTCACGATCATTCTCTTTCTTCTTGCCACATCTGTGCGAATGCGACACAACCACCTATGCAAAAATGGATGCGGATATTGCAGAACTACACTCGAATCTCAAACATGACCACCTACTTCAACTACCCAAGCAAGGAGCTGCAGGATGAGCTGAGGGGCATTGCCCAGGCCATCGTTGCACCCGGCAAGGGTATTTTGGCCGCCGATGAGTCCGTGTCGACCATGGGCAAGCGTCTGCAGGACATTGGTGTGGAGAACAGCGACGAGAACCGTCGTGCCTACCGTCAGCTGCTGTTCAGCACTGACCCCAAGCTGGGTGAGAACATCTCCGGCGTGATCCTCTTCCACGAGACGCTGTACCAGAAGGCCGATGATGGCACCCCCTTCGTTGATATCCTCAAGAAGAAGGGTATCATTCCCGGCATCAAGGTCGACAAGGGTGTCGTCCCACTGTTCGGCTCCGAGGATGAGACCACCACCCAGGGCCTCGACGATCTGGCCGCCCGCTGCGCCCAGTACAAGAAGGACGGCTGCGACTTCGCCAAGTGGCGTTGCGTCCTGAAGATCGGCAAGAACACCCCATCCTACCAGTCGATCCTGGAGAACGCCAACGTGCTGGCCCGCTACGCTTCCATCTGCCAGTCGCAGCGCATCGTGCCCATTGTGGAGCCCGAGGTTCTGCCCGATGGCGATCACGATCTGGATCGTGCCCAGAAGGTCACCGAGACCGTCCTGGCTGCCGTCTACAAGGCACTCAGCGACCACCATGTCTACCTGGAGGGTACTCTGCTGAAGCCCAACATGGTCACCGCCGGTCAGTCCGCCAAGAAGAACACTCCCCAGGAGATTGGCCTGGCCACCGTCTTGGCTCTGCGCCGCACTGTCCCCGCCGCCGTCACTGGTAAGCAACATCTCTGGCCACATTCCACGCTGTTCTTTGTACTAAATAATCGTTTTGCTTAGGTGTCACCTTCCTGTCGGGTGGTCAGTCTGAGGAGGAGGCCACCGTCAACCTGAGCGCCATCAACAATGTTCCTCTGGGTCGCCCATGGGCTCTGACCTTCTCGTACGGTCGCGCCCTGCAGGCCTCCGTGCTGAAGGCCTGGGGAGGCAAGAAGGAGAACATTGCCGCCGGTCAGAACGAGCTGCTGAAGCGCGCCAAGGTGAGTTCTTTAGTGCTGGAATGTAGCTTACGATTGGGCCTACTTAAGTGGTGTTTAGTAATTTAAGTACCGGGTGACGGCGGGTATATTTTCCATGGTATAAGCTACACCATCCCACCTTAATGATCCTACGTCCTATCTTATCTGCAAGCTAAATAATCCTTAACTCATACTTAACCTTTAATCGTTTCCATTATCTTATCCTAACTCACATTCAAAGCATTGAACTCATCGTAAAGTTATTAGATTATCGATCGAAAGAGCAATATTTAAACGAGTTCATTTAATTGTTCACTTCATGCCTGAACCATTACTCATTCTGTACCCATAATCGAACTTAATTTAATCTCGCAAACATCTAATTCAACCTCAATCCTAAACTCATACTCAGGCGAATAGTGCGGCCAGCTGTGGCTGCTATGAAGCTGGTTCTATTAGCGGTGCTGCTGGTGGCGATACTTTGCATGTGGATGATCACAAATACTGAGGAACCATAAACCATTAATATCAATGAAAAATCAATTAAAATTAAAGCTTTTTCGATTCACTTACCTCCACACTTTCCTTCATTACTTAACCCCATCGCATTACCACGCGCACGCTGCTGTAGCTGTAGTAACCCTAATCCCGAAATCTTACAAATGCTCCTTAATTGACTAATCCCAACCACAATCCTACCGCTCTCCTCTTTCCCTCCAACGCACAGGCCAACGCTCTTGCTTGCCAGGGCAAATACGTGGCCGGCTCGATTCCCTCGTATGCCGCCAATGCCAGCCTCTTTATTGCTGGCCACAAATACTAAACAAAAAATGCACAGCCCCAAATCAGATTCAGAATCTAGCGATGCCCATAACCCCTGGCTGAACTCTGCTGGGCCTGAAGCTGCACTGCGACTGGCAGACATTCCACTACACATGGATCACACTTTTCTATTAGACTTTTCTATACACTATATTTACTGACTAGACCTTACGATGGCAATACTGATATTGATGATCTGATGCTTAGAATTCAGACAAACACAACACCGACAAGCTAAATAAATTATCTATTAAATTTTACAAAATTTTATTTGTTCTTTGTTTACTTTTACTTTATTTTGTTTTAGTTTATGTATATTTTAAGTTATAAGTTTGTAATGTTACGTGAATGCCGGAAGGCCTTTCCCACTCACATCACTCAGATTTTGCAACCACTTCCGTTGGACTCGTTTGTACTGGAGTTTTCAGTGTTAAATTACATTTAATCGAATCAGGCTGTACCCTCGCAGTAGTTTTAAAGTTTTTCGGGTATTTGTGAGTAAGAGTTCGGAAAATGTTTTCGGCAAGTGGCAGGGCAAAGTTTTCGGCTGGGGAGAAAAGTTGAAGGAATCAACTGGCTGGCAAAATGTAACAAAGTTTTGCTCCTGCGGCAGTCAAAGTTATGAGTTACGTTATAATTAAGGCAAACTGTTTGTAACTAAACTGACTATATGGGATGGTCTCTCGATAGTTTTCTGCCCACATGAAACATGAAACTAATGCTGTAACTTGATTTAATTCTTTTCGCAGGCTAACGGTGAGGCTGCCGTCGGCAAGTACGTGGCCGGCACTGCTGGCAGCGGCTCTGGCTCTCTGTTCATTGCCAACCACGCCTACTAAGGAGTAGCGGAACAGCGCCCACAACACACACACATATTTATACAACAAAAATATCTATATATATAAAAAGGAGATTGCTTCAAATGTTTGATTTTTGGCAGATTTGTTTCTCTTTAACTTAGTTTCGAGAGCTAAGCAGCAAGCATATAAAAAAAAACACAAAAAAAAAAATAGAAGAAAAAACGAAAGATTTAACCACAGAATAATGTTAAAAATTTAATCATATATTTGAGAAAATGAATACATAAACAGCCCCCAACAAATAATACAAACAAACAAACAACAAAAACAAAGGTGAATACAGAAATATATGAAAGAGGATTATGTTGATTGAGACGCAAACTTATCTTTAGTTGTAAGCACACGAAACACAATTGTTGAAGTTCTATTATATATCTATCACTATGATTACTACGAGTAAGATTTCAATGTCGAACGGGCAGAGGTCGTAAATCGTTTGGACATCTAAGCACATCTAAAACAAAAAGCACAATCAACAGTCAAGATCCTTGTTGGAAGTATCCGTTGTCCCGCAGGCATTGAAATCGCACAAAGGTTTTATTACTTTTTTTAAACGTTTGTATACAAAACTGTTAAATGAAAATCAAACGTTTTATTATTATTATTATTACAATTTATATTTATGATTAAATAAGTATAAGTGAAAATACAACAAATGACGCAAATAAACAAACACAATACAATAAAAAGAAAAGAAAACAAAAGAGAAAACCCAACAGCAACCACTCACAAGTACCACAACAACAACAACCTATATTCATAAAATGTGAGCGAACGAATTGCTGTTGTCCATAAAAAGAAAACAAACAAAGAATATTTATGCCACGGTGCAGCAGCAACCGTGCGATTGTTACTCGTATTTATCGATCGTTTCCACCCACTGAGCCACTCGATCCAAAATGTGATCGATATCGATGGTAACCAAAACAACTAACCCAACAATAACGTGCATATATTGCCATCATATTTGTATTTATCATATGCATATACATAAATATGTGTGTACATATATGTGTCCCAGCTTGAACGTTAATCAAAGTTCGGTGAACGAATGGCATCATGGCTAACAAACTGTAATTTACTGCGAAACAAAAAAACAAACAGAAAACACCAGCAGGAGCAAAAACAACAACAACTGTGTGTTCCAAATAATGTTCTAGAAATTAACTAAGGATGTTTGTTGAACGAACATCATTCAATAAAAGATCCTAAAGAGCAAAAACAAAACAAAATTTTGAACAATATTTATTATATATTAAATCTAAAATATTAATTAGCAACTATTTAGGACTACAGCTATTATTTTAATTGATTTAACATTTTATTTAAAATCCTTTTAAAAGCATACAACAAATGTGTTGCATATTCGCCAGCGCAACGTACAGTTGGGGCAGCACTGGACACGAGTGCGAGCTGGAAAAGCTTTTAGGAGGGAATACGTTGACTTGGGAACGCTTAATTACACTCTCAGAATTGAAGGAATTGATGAGGCTTTTGTACTTAACATAGAAATGTAATTAATTGCCATAAAAACATTAGTGGGTGTTAATTTATTATTTTATTGAATTTATATTGAATTTAATTAGATATTTGGGTTATCATGTTGAACAAAAACTTAAAACATAACTAACAAACATTGTTCCTAGATCATTTTTAACCTTCAATTTCATTTATTTCTTTACTATTCCTGGCCCTGTGGCGTTCTAGGGCCAGTGCAGTCCGTGAGCCCTTAGCCATGAACTTATCGGCGTCCTGCGAAGCGGAGTGCAAGCCTTTGGCCACGGGTACCAAGGGATGATCCATGGCGAAAAGCACTTTGGGTACGGTGAGTGTCTCTCGCAGTACGGATTGTTTGGGCACAACATTCACAGCGAGGTTCTTGTCGTACAGGTGGACCGAGTAATCGGTGCGGATGACGCAGACGTTAATGAGGGAGTCGGAAAACAAATCGTTTCTAATGCCCGATTTCACCGCTTCGATGGCCAGAGCCTCGGCCTGCTTCTCGTCGAGATTGGCGTGCCAGCCTTTCTCCAGCACAGCCATGGCAGCCAACTCCAACTGTCTAGGTCCATTCGCTGCGAACGGAATCTTATCCGAGGTGCCATCGAAGTGGCTGAAATATAGACTGGGCCCCCCACTGTCCACCCCGCCGACGAGCAGATTTACCTGAATCTGGCCGTGAAAGCGATAGAGTAGATGCTTGACAAATTGATTGGCACAGACGACAGGCACCTTGGACGAGTGCATTTGCAGTCGGTGCAGCTCCATTTGGGCGGCAGCCAGTCGCGCGACTTGGTGCAGATCCCCACAGACCCCGTAACAACCAATGCTGCCAGAGAGAAGAGCTAAAAGGTAAGCGGATGTGGCGGGACCACACACAGAAATACTCACTAAATGTTATCCTGCAAGCGATATAATGTCTTCATATAATTTGTGGTCTTTCTGTCGGTGGCAATGATGATTCCATCACGATACTTTACACCCACCACACAGCATCTAGTAATCTCTGGCGGCATGGGAATAAGTCCATTTCGTTGAGCAAGTTTGCCGTCACTAGAGATTGCGCAGAGATGGGCATTGGTATGCATTATCCTAAGGGACTGTGTGGCACCTACCGGTCACGATTGCCAAAACTGAATCCTGTGGAACTTCTTTGGCATTGGCTGTCCGCCTGCAGCATGAATGCTGCGTTGAACATGATGTGGGGATTTGATTTGTTATAGATTTAATTTCGACTGTGTTTTGCTGAAGCTAAAAGCACTGACTACTTGTCATCTGATTCTACAATGGAAAACTCCTTGATTGATGTTTACTTTTCGATCTGCAGGATTTCCTTTCATTATGTTTGGACTGCAGATACATTTTCTATAGTTCAAGACATATTTCCTGACAGTTGGTTTTGTTTTTGTAACACTTTTGTACTTTGGCACCTTTAATTTCCGCTTTGATGACAAAGTTGCAGCCACAAAATCAAACATTTATCGCAATCATTTTGCTTGTTTCAATGGCTGGCTACACGGCAGCCGCAGATACGAAAGGTGTATTGTGTATGCAAAAATAATAATCTTAATAGTCATGATGTTTCGCCTATCAATCGGAATATTCTGCTTTTGCATTCTTCTCTTTGGTCACAAGTTCAAGACCACCAGACAGCCTCGAGGCCGAGCAATCGTCTTTGTTTGCTTTGTTAGTGTGTAATTTTATTGAATTTCGGTCGCAAATGAAATGCACAATTTCCTTCCTTAGTTGTAAATGCAAATGTAAACACGAGCGCAACAAGCGACGTAATCTGTGTGCCGTGATCCATTTTCCATATAGCTTCGATTGTTGTTCCTGCTGCTGCTGCAGCAGCTGCTGTCCGGAGTGCAAAGTTCGCTTAATCGTAACCAAATCCAATGCCGAAGATACTCTGGGTGTGCCTTGGAGCACGGACAGGCACACAGACGGTGACGTGACGACTGCACTGGGGGGCATTGTAATGCCCATTGCAGAGGTACAGCTTTGGAGGTCACTGATTTACAGCATGGCGGCGAGCACTTTTATTTACCCAATCGATTCCGATGAGCCATTGCGTCATTTGTGGTCTCCAGTTCATTGTCTGGCACTAGGGATGGCCAAGTGTGATCGATATTTATTTATCCCATGGATATACGCAACCTAAATTAAGGTCAAACAGAGGCAGTTGCTTGCACTCTGGCAACTGATCGATTGGAAGCAACAAATCGTGTTAATATCAACTCTACTTTGAGCTCAGTTTCCTGCCAAATGTAGCGGAAATGTTGCACAAGGAAAAGATGTTGGCTGGCATTTGGCATACTGATCCATCCAGCTTGTGGCAGTGTCAACAATTCCATTGTCATTCACACCCCCCAGCTCTCTGGCATTTCCTGTGGCAGCTGTTGGGTGTTGGGTGTTGGGTGTTGGCTGCTGGCACAAAGATTGTCCACAAAAGTGGAATTAATTGTATTTGCATAGCATGTAAACATCATCACGTTGCCGGCAGGATCTCAGCCGGCTGTTGCTGTTGTTGGGGCTGTGGCTGCTGCCAGTGGCAACAATTCTAAACTGTTCCCGTACACCCTTTTCCCACGCAACAGCCCACGAACAGCCATTGTATCCTTCGGCTTCCTGCGGTGCTGGCACGTTGCTGACTACGCAGCAAGACGAGCAAAGGCGCAAAGGAGCAAAGCTACATAAATATCAACAGCACGTCATGTGGCGTCAAAGAGGAAGTGATGCTGGCAGTGGCAGTTGCGCCATCAACGGTGTTCGGGCGGAAATTGAGACCCAGAACCCCACAGACACAGCCAGAGCCACAGTTCAGGCGTCTGCAACTGATTGAGCTGTGGATTATTCAGGGCATGCTCCATCAATTAAATGACTCGCTGCGAAAGCCAAATCGATATGAAGTCAGCCACAGTCCCGGGTTCTCCCTTTTGCACATCGACTTGACCGAGGGATAACCGCATTGCGGCCAACTGCTCGCTCGCCAACTGTAATTGCAGGTGCCCGGCTACCAACTGGGCAGTCATGTGTCCTGCGAGACTCTCCCTCTGTGTGAGCAGTTTCTAATTAGCTGCAAAACACCACTCGAGGGCCCAATAACAAAACCAACTGTGTGACAATAACGCCCACGTTGCAAAAATAGCTCTAAACGAAGGCACCAGCAAAGTCCACAACAAACACACACAGTGGCTAGCTATCCAAGCTATGTTTGAACTGGAAATTGTGTAAGAATTTTCAATTATTTTATGCTTCATTCTCTACTAGAACTATTTCCAGAAATTCCCTATACTTTCCACTGTTCGTTGGTCATTGCAAGTCGTCCTTTCTCTTTGCACTCTCTTTCGCCTTTTCTTTCGCTTGCTGTGCCTTCCCTTTGGGGGCTTGTGTGCATTTTGGGCCATGTGCGTGGTCGTCGTCGCCATGGCGGCCAATGTGAAGGTCGATCGATCCATTTGCTCCTCCCAGCCATTGTCCCACATCCCACAGCCAACCCACTGTCAACCCTTTGCCCACTCCTCCTACTCTTCTTGCCAATTTATGTTCATTGAGTTGATGTTGATTTGTGCGCCGCGCCATGATTTTTTAATGGAATGTAATTTATATTTGTGTTTGCAGGGGAGGGTGCGGGTGCGGGGTGCCTGTGGAGAGTCCAGTGGAGAATCGCTGACCGGCAGACGGGCGTGCACTTGACTGCATTTTGGCTCGCTGCATTGGCCGTGCGCCAAATGCAACGTCGAAGCGACACAATTTGTTTGACTCTCGCTCTCTCTCTCTCGCCCGACTCTCTCTGTCTCGCTTTGTAGCGGAATCTTTTTCTCACGCGTTGTCTGGCTGTGTGCCGCTTGCATTCTTGTGCAGGAATGACAATATGTAGCTAAAAGTATTTCTAAAATGGAATGGGCTGTGCCATGCTGCTGCTCGAACTTCCATGTGTACGGTGGTAGTTCGTACTCAAACATTAATTTTCTTTTTAAATTCAAATTTAAACATTATTGAACATTTTTTAGCTGTTACAAACTCAGAAATTGTCCAGTGCGAAATGTCGCGTGCGAACTGACCCGAAATGTCGCATGGGACAAGTCGCACGGGAACCAAAATGTTGCTGGGGACAAGTCGCACGGGCTCTGAAATGTTGCACTGAACTTATTGGGGAAATAAATATATTCCGTGTTGCACGGGACAATTCCTTTGTTTTTAACAGTTTAAAAATGTTCTATCGTGTTCAATCATGTTCATTCTTGTTCAATCATGTAAAATTAAGTGGCTTGAGCTGATCAAGCATCAACGAATTTCCCTCTGACTATTTCCCGACAGTTCTGCAGACAGACCTTAAAGTAAAACGGAAATTTAATAACTTTTTCAGCAACTCATGTCCGTTCGTTGAGGATTATTGCGTACAACAACAAACCGCATCACAAAAAGCGAAAACCGCACTTTAATCTGAAACGGATATGCAAATGACTTCTGTTGCCTGATTGTGTCTGATTTCAGTTAAGCATTTTGGGCATCGTTGCTTTTGTTGTGCCACCCACTCTAATCGAGCATGAATAAATGACACAAGCCGAAACAATTAATTGCGGCACTCGAAACATGCAACAACATGTGACAATAACAAGCGGGAAATCCAAGTTGAATTTTTGACAAAAATTCATTTATCTTATGTGCCGCAATCGACAGAGTAAATACATAAATCGAGCGAGCGAGCAGCAGCCAGAAATTTGGGAAATGCTTGAGTTTATTTTATATGAACAACAAAAATCAGTTGCAATTTTCATTATTACATTTTTGCTGGCTTTGCCATCTTCAATTAGAGCTGCGACGGTTCTCATGGGAGAGCGGCAGAGCGGAAGAGAGGCAGAGTGGGAGAGAGGCAACGCGGCAGAGAGCTTTTGCGGTAGATTCGCTGTAAATCTTATGCGTTGCTCAAACACGATTCGTAAATGGAGCCGCAGATGCTGACGGCTGACGACTGCCGGCTGCTAGCTGCACTGCCGCTTCACCGAGTGCCAGCCAAGTGTCAGGTGAATGAACGTAAGAGTGTTGCTGTCGCGTCTCAGACTTTCACTCCGATTGCATCATAGAACTTTCCCAACGCCTTGACATTCTGTGTGCAAAACCCGACCCCGCCCCGCCCCCGCTCACGTGCAATTAAAATGCCTTTGAAATGCAATCTTGTGCGGCATCGCGTGAGTTTTCACTGCTCTGGCTCTGTGTGGATCTGTGGCTGCCGTTTTGCGGGCTTGCATAATGGCCGTGATTTCCCGGGAAGTTGTGAAACTGGGACCCCGGGGGTAGGTAGCAGCCTGCAAGTAATTATATGTGCAAATATTTTCTAACGAGCAAATGCAATGAATACTTACCATTTAATTGACATGTCCAGGGCAGCCAGAGGCAATGCAATGAGAGATAGAGAGAGAGAGAGAGAGAGAACTCATTATATTCCTTAGCTATCTGTATCTCTATCTCTTTTTGCGCTCTCTTTTGCAGCATGATAAAATGGGAAAGCATTTTAGCGGCTTACGTGGAGTTCTCCTTGATGAAATGCAAAACTAAATTGGATTACAATTATAACTGAAGCGCGCTCAAGGACTTTTTGAAAGAGCCACCAAAAGGCTGCCAATCAGCTGCTACATTTATCTCTTTTAAAAGCTAATTAGTGGCACAGAGTTCAGAGTATCAGGAAAACCTACTTCAATTCCAACTAAAATATTCACAGAATATTACAGTGCTAATTTTAATTTACAATTTGTTTTCCAGGAAGCGCCCAAACTATAAATAAATAAACCTAAAACCAATGTCGGACTACGTCATGGCTGAAAACTAATAAAAACTAACTAGAAAAAACACATAAAAATAAGCAAAGAAAACAAATAAAAGAAAAGGAAAACAGACACAACTTTTACGACATAAGCAGAGAAAATTCATTGACCTGCCAGGCGGGGTACGTCCTTAACCTTAACCACAGAGCAGCTACCCAGCCAAGGATCAAGAACTAAGCCAGAGGCCAGAGGCCAGAAGCAGGCAGGCCAAAGGAAACTCTGATTTCAAAAACCCACTTTATGTCCTTTGGTTAGCGGCAAAGTCCTTTGCACGTGAAGCTGACAAAATATTATTTTAGCATAATTAACTCCTACCCGACAAAAAGTACTGAAGGATAACCCAACCCCGTGGGAGTGCCCACCCACGCCCGAACACACAGCCACTCGTGCAATTAAAGTTGATGCCAGCCAATGTGAGACGCACAAAAGCCATTTCCACATTTAGATTTCCCATTACAGATTGCCAAAAGGGAACAAAACTGTGGGAAAACTATGGCAAAACTGTGTCAAACTATAGGACACAGTGGAGCACATCAAAGAGCAGTGCAAAAACTGTTGAATTTTGAACATTTCAGCCAAAGGAGTGCACTTCCAGAGGCAACGAAAATGGAGCTGGAGCAGGAGCTGCTGCCTGCCTTGGCACTTGAAAAGTGTCTTGCGCTCAGTTGATTTTGGAAATTAATTGAAATTTGCGGGGCACGTCTGGGTCTCAGTCTTCAAATTGTAATGCGCAGTTTGACAGCCACTGTCCCAGTGGGGATGGGATGGATAGCCTTAAGCTTTAGTTCTTTTGATGCGGCTCCAAGTGGCTTTGGCATTGGGAATACGTTGCACAGATATTTAGCTGGTTGAGCGCGCAAATTGAAAAGGTTTTCTGGCTGCTGGATTGGGTAAATTGTTAATTTGAAATGGAAAATGCTGAGGCAATTCAATGCCAATGCCAAAACCCAATTCAAACTGAACACTTCTACACGTTAAACTCTACACCTTGGACACATTTTATAGTCGTGCGTATGCCAAGTGCAAATTTCTCAGCAATCACGTGAATAGTGCGGGAACCACCGAGTGCCAAAGTGCGGCGAGTGTGGAAAGCGGAGCAAAAGTCGAGACATTTCCATGGCAAAAACAAAACAAAGAAAAAGTATTAATACCACAAGCAATATGACTTGGAATGGATGCGGATTCCTTTCGTTCATGCAGCTCTAAAAACCTTTCCTTTAACCTGTCAACCCTCGCTATCAAAAATCATGGCGTCAGTGTCATTGTCAATGCAACAGAAAGGGAAAGAGAACGAGAAAGAGTTTGAGGGCAAGAAGTAGCCAAAGTTGAAGGCGAGACAGTGCGCATTGCATTTTGCCTTCAATCAATACTTTGAACCCTTGACTGAGTGGCCGACTGCCCAACTGCCCAGCTGCCTGACTGCCTGACTGCCTGACTGCGCGACTGACTGCCTGCCCTGCTCCGCATTTCATTTTGATTGATGTGCGCTGATTTATATTGATTTCGCTTCTCTTCTTTGCATTTTGTTGTTGTTTCATTTGCATAAAGTGCAAAAATGTACTCAGAGCTGAGCATTGGGATGCCGGGCGCGATGCCGTGGATGCCTCAAGTTCAGACGACGGCAGCAACAGCAACAAAAAGCGAATCAATTGAAAACTGCAAATCAATCGGAAGGGGGAGAGGGTTGTGGTTGGAGTTGGGGGATTGGGGGATTGGGAAAGTCGCTCGTCGATCAGACAGACGCGGCGACGCATTCATTTCATTAAGCTGCCAGCTGTCGCTTAAACAAATTCAAGAAAATCGAGACTTTGACACGGCTTCCAGTGGAGCAGCAACTGGGGTTGAGAGACCTCAGGGTCTCCCTCTCTCTCTCTCTCTCTAGCTAGAATGCATTTCCATTTAAAAAGCCGTTTTTAAATAGCAGGGCTACTGGAATCCAGAACAATTCACCTGCCACAGACAACTTTCCCAGCTTTCACTGCTCTCGGAATTCACTTGGCCTTTCCCCTCACACATGGCTCCACGTGGCTTTTGGTTGTTGCGGTCATGCGGAAATTGTTTTAGCCGCAAAACAAAAAGAAATGTTGCCCAAAATTTCGTTATCCGTAAAAGTTTGGCCATCCTCCCGGAAGTGGGGAAGGGTAGGGGCCACAAAAGTTGAACAAAAAGCTGAAAATAAAGAGGCCCAAAAACAGAAAAGTAATATTAATAGGATTTTGGCTAATGAGGATGTAGAGAGAGGGGCAGAGCTCATCCTAAACAATTTACGAGCCACTCTGTGGGGGAGAAGAGATCAACCAACTGGTGGATATCCTCGAGAAGCACTGACCAAACAGCAGATAAATGTTTTTGTTTATGTATCTTAATGTTTATTTGCCAAAAGGAGTGTACAAAAATGTGGAGCACATCGATGGAAAATGCCCGTTCCATGGATCCCAAAAACATTCCAGGAATTAGGACTCTCTTTTGCGCTCTTGAAGTAGCTGCAAATGAACAGGTTCCAAATTAGTTTTCAACTCTTGCTATTGCTGCAAACATTTACCAATTGAATCCATCATGTCTGTTGCATCACGTTCACGATTTTCTTGCATCTTTCTAGGTCAGCAGAATATTTGTAGCGTGTAATGAACCAGCAATCGTGTCTCGGTTGTAACTTTAGAATGGAGTGCATAGAACCCTGGGTATGGTGAGGGTTTACCATCAAGGAACTATCAAAGAGCTTCGAATTATTTAACTCTTGTCGCGCACCTGTGTCATATTTCTGTGTCATATTCTATGTGCAAGATGTGAGTTGTGTGTTTGGTTGAGTAGAAAAGTTGGTGGCATCAATTGGTGGCAAATATTTGCTGCACCAAATGGATGAGAATCATAGGAACGATGCCAAAATGTGTTACTTTTGTGCAGCTGCCTTTCTTGCCCTTTTTCCTTTTTCTCTTCATTACTTCTTCCCTTTCTTGGCACGGACAACCCACATAGTGTCGGTCAGGACTCCAATTCCAATTGGCGCATGCGCCGCAATGCGCCTTAATTGCCTTTACGTTCCTGACCTGCTGACAGCCAATAATGGGCGACCAGAAGCAGCAAACGTGTGCAATGGACTCTGCCAAATTGTCACCAAACATTAACCGATTAACCGAAGAGAGAGAGAGAGAGAGAGAGAGAGAGCAAATGCTTACGTTTGTTGTAAAAATAATAGTGCGGGAGCATGCAGTCAGCCAAATATCCCAGGCCCTTCGAAAAATTACCATCTCGATCGTAATGAATCTGGATTCTGTCGTTAACGTATGGACAAAAGAAACCCGTACTTTTAACTTCGCAATCCTTGTTCATGCTACAGTCGTCGCATTTCATTTTCTTCACATACGCTGGTATCTCCATCTGGTTGGCATTGGCCAATGCGACGGTTAATGCCAAATATGTGCTTACATAACACAATAGAGCGGACATTTTAGTTGTAAATTGTTTGTTTTTGTGTGCAAAATTTTGTTGAGTAAAATACGTTCTGATCTGTTCTGATAGCTGTCGTTCCACTGACGACTGCTGGCTGTCTACTAATGCAAATTGAATGGCCGACTGTGTTGTCCGTCTGAGGTTTAAAGCAACTTCAAACTGACAATTGGCTCCATGATGCAGTTGTACATTATTAAATAAGTTTTATAAATTATTGTCTCATCGTTTCCTCCCACACTTTGTACCGCAACAATAAAGAAATATATTCAAATAAATCTACGGCCAGGAGTGTGTTTGGTTATTGCTTTAATAAAAGTTGCTGGCAAATCATTTGCTGCACGAAATGAAGGAAAATCGTAGGAACGATGCCAGAATGCGTGAGTTTTGTGCTGCTGTTCTTGCCCTTTTTCTTTTTCCTCTTGGTATCTTCTTTTTCTTGGCAGGGACAGCCCACATGGTGATCGTTGGGACTCCAATTCCAATTGGCGCATGTACCGCATGGCGCGCTTTGTGCCTCTAAGTTCCTGACTTGCCGACAGCCAATAAGGGGCGACCAGAAGCAGCAAACGTGTGAAATGGACTCTGCCAAATTGTTACCAACCATTAATTGGAAATAGTAGACGTAAAAGAAAACTCTTTGCTTACTTTTATTGTAAAAATAATAGTGCTGGGCCATGCAGTTGGCCAAATATCCCAGGCCCGTCGATATATTACCATCCGGATTGTAGTGAATCTCGACTCTGTCCACGTCGCGTGGACAATAGAATCCCGTGGATTTAATGGCGCAATCCTTGTTCATGCTACAGTCGGAACATTTCATGCTCTTGATAAACTCTGGTATCTTGGCACTGTTGCCATTGGCCAATGCGACGGTTAATGCCAAAAATGTGATTACAAAACACAATAGAGCGGACATTTTAGTTGTAAATTGTTTGTTTATGGTTAATTTGAGTTCTAAATGTGACAGACTGACAATTGGCTCCATGATGCAGTTATACATTATTTTTACCGTCTTATTCTTACATTTGAAGTCCCTTAAAATTCTATTGAAATGCTCTTAAAATTGTCTTTTTATTTAATTGATTCTATCGCACACATCAGAATTACAATGAAAATGGCTCCGTTGCAGCCTGCGCCACTTGTTTGCGGTGGTCCACATGGACAGCCCATCGGATTTTGATCCAGGAACGAGCCCCTTTCGTGGTATGTGGCACAATCGGAGCAGGGCTTTGTCCGCTGTTTATTTTTCACCTGCTGGCAGCCAATTTGAGGCGTCCAAAAACAGCAAGCCGATGAGATTTCCTCTACGCTCCGAACAGCCAACCATTAATAAATATTATCAGTTCATTTATTCGAGAGTTTACCACCTTTAAGAAAGAAATGCCCGGAGGCCATGAAACTGTGCAAATGTTTGCGATTTTCTGCTGCCGCCTCTTTCCGTTCATCAATCATCAGTGTCCTCTGACTCGCGACAGTAGTATCCCGAGGATACAATTTGGCATTCCAGATTCACCTGCTTGCAGTCACCGCATTCCATTTTGTCCACGTAAGCGGATCGATCCGATTGTGGCCCCTCGATTTGGGCCACTAGAGTGGCTAGAATAAACAAAAATATTCGATACATTTTCCACTGACTCCAACGATGTTTTTGTATCGTTTGTAAAGCTGCCTTCAGGGGCTACTAAGTTGGGTTTTTATTAATTATTTTCCTAATTTTACTGCCCTACAAAAGCCCCCAATTCGATGAGTTCTCTCCGACTTATGCAATTTCCAATTGAGGCACCTTTTTGGTGCAAATATTTTTTATTAACGTGACAATTATGCATTTTGTCGGTGCACTGGATGGCTATTTATAGCTTCACACTGCCACTGCCATTGTCTGGCTGTAGGTTTGGCTCGGGCGAGAGCGCTCTCTCAGTCCGCTCTCAGACACTGCTGCCACAATACACAAATGTTAACCAAAAGCCAAGACAAAACTAAAACTCATTTAGTTTCTGGCCTGAATTTCTTGCGGTGCTTCAAGCCAAACTTCAAACCACTTTTAGCACGTGCTGCTGCCTTATGCAATGGCGCTGCACGCATGCAGTGACTCTCAAACTGTCAACCAGTCAGTGCCACATTTTGGGCAGTTAAGTTTTTGCGTTTTTGTGCCTGTGCCTGTGCCTGTGCCGGCCGCCCTTGCCGTGGCAAGTCTCTCAGCCATGCTGTAGCTGTGTCTGTGTCTGTAAGAGCACGAAATCATGACATCATCGATGTTGGGGGGAAGAAAGCAGCTGGCATTTGATTTAACAATTGTACCCTACCAAACAGCTATGGAATTCGCATGAAGCGGGGGAAACTTTACTTTAAAATTATTATAGGAATTATCAAACAGAGTAGATGTGCAATTTAAGTAATTTTATTTTAATTTTAAAAATTGATTTGTATTTTATTTAATTTAATTTAGTATTCCGCAGCGGCTTTAAAATTCGCCCAAGCTTATGGCTCTGCTCTCTGCTCTCGTTATTAGTCAGATTTTCTGCTCTCCATGTCTTTAGTCTTGTTTGCCGCCAGCTTGGCTAATAAGCCACATAAAATAAAAGCAGCCAAGAGTAACAATTCACATCAAATAAAACCAAACAGCAACATTTATACATTGTGTAGAGGAAAATTACAAGCAGAAGCAAGTGGAAAATGAATAAAACTAGCAGAAGAACAACGAAATCTAGCAGGCCAGAGTCAAAAACACTATAAATGTCATAAATAAAGCAGAATTGTTTTGATGGGGGGAAAACTTTTGGTTGAGAAAACGCGCTGCCAATTGGCAAGTGACACAGAAAATGGCAGGCCCATTTCTCGCACACAAATATCGTATGTCGATCGATCGAAGTTCAAGCGCAATGACAGCCACATTTAGGCAGTAAACAAAATTGCCACAATTAGCGGGTGGAAATGTCTAATTTCCCTAACAATGGATGCGTTGGATATTACCTGCTGCTGCGTACACTTTGCTGAGAGCATCTCATTCGCGGTGTACTGTTCCCACAGTTAGTCATAATTGAATGACTCCAGTGGACTTTGATCCGCCGGCTTGCCGCCAGATCTCCAGCGGGGTTCGCTTTGCTGATCATTATGACGTTGCAGATTCTTCTACAGAGAATTTTTATTAAGCTGCAGACTGGATAGCTCTTTGAGACTCTGTCCAAAGTCTGCCCTGCCCCACCAACAGTTAGCTCATGTTTTTCGACTGACTAATTTAATTGTCTCTAATGAATGGCTTTGCCTGTTCGCCACTTATTCATTCGTCTCGCACGGTTGACGCCTCTGACATTCTCTCTCTCTCTCTCTCTGTGTGGGTGAATTTTGGATTTGTGGCAAAAGTAGAACCTGCTGCTGGCCTCCTTTGTGTTTTTTGTGGCTTACACACACTCACGGCTTTGTCTCTGCACTTTGTCACTCGTTTTAGGGCACTTTTTGATGACCACTGAGAGTGGATAATTAGCCTCAGGTCGATGATGCGGCATCAGTCTCAACCATCGATCGATTTCGCAGCCAAATGAATCAAGATTCAAGCCGCTTGAGGTAGGGGCTATAATGAATAATATCCGTGCTGGCAGTTTGCCCTCGGCCGGGCTGGCTCTGAGTTCTTCGTCTCGACTTCAAAGCCCAGCCAAACGCCGCCGCTGTGTCTGGCAGCAGCTCGAGCCACCGTCCATCTAGACATAATTTTAATGCTCTGGCAACTTTTAAATTTAATTCGTTGTTTTATTTTTAGCAAATCTCGATATACTTGTATTGTCCCCCGCCCAGCCACCGCTCGATCGGTTTTCATAAATATTTATTGCCACGCTTGTGGTTTTATTTTATGCGTGCACATGTTGCCCTCTACGAGGGCTAGCACGGCACTGATTTCACTTCGCTGAGTTCGGGGAATGATGTACTTTATGGCTGCTTTTCACTCAAGCGAATTTCCAGGAGTTTGGCGGAAAAGCCAATCCCTTTTATTTCATCGGCACTTGTGTGTTTCTTTACTCTAAATAGTGTAAAGTTTTCTGCACAATCATGCTGAAATGAAATTAAAATATTGCTTCGCTAGTTAACAGGAATCTGAGAATGTTTATTGAAATGTTTCCAAATAAATTTGCAGCTCGAAAAAAGTGCCTAAAATTACAATTAAAACATTTGCCAGCCCTGCCTAATCAGGCCAATTCTTTATAATAGATATGTATACATATATGTATGTAGATACATATGTAGCTACACATGTATATACACATGTATAGCCACGCCAAAGGCAAATATCAGCCACATGGATCAGGCGTTATAAGAGTAGCCGTAAACATGTTTCAGCTTCTTGTTGCGGTTTCTTAAGCAACTCTATAAAACAACAAAAAATTACTAATATAAATAAAAATACATTGTCTTTTTTTGTTGCTCTTTATCGTGTTCGAATTAGCATATAACCCCACAAAACACTCCAGCAAAAGCGAAAAAGTGGCGAATTAATTTATGCAAAATCGTGTTTTTAATTATCAAAAACCTTTAAGCCAACAAAGCAACAAAAAATAAGAATTAATAGATTTATGTTCTATGGTAAGTCGATGCTCGCAATACACTTTTTATTTGAAAGAGTTTTTCATAAATATTTCTGACAATATGATTTATTAATATATATTTTAAATATTTTTATTATGTTCTGCTGACAAATCTGCACCCATTTGTGGCCTGCAAACCCAATATTTATTTCAAAATACTCTGCAAAAGAACGCACTCCTCACGGGTGTTAAAACAATCTAAGTGCTTAACCAGCGACATGAAAATTTAAATTGAATTTGAAGTCGAATGCTGCATTAACACTTAAATGTAGAATCAGAGAACAAACGCCATTAAATATAGCTTATAATGAATACCAAATTAAATTAAACCAAATGTAAACAAACAAATAATCATTATTTGCAGTGCCTGAAAAAATCCATATTAAAAACCCATTTACTGGAGAGTTTATTTCGGCTAGAAATAACTTTGGCAATAACTTAAATATATTTATTTAAGTATTATTTATCGCCACAGATAGTATGCATTGCAGATCTACAGTCATGTATTCCACACACTCAATAATCAAATATTATCCGAGCTGTGCACACCGTTTTGTTCCCCACTTCACATGCGAGAATGGCAGCAAATAAAATCAAATCATTTTTGGCATTTATTTTGCCCTAGCCCTAGCACACACTCGTAAGGGCAGCGACCAGCACGCGCTGTGCCTCATTTGGAATGCCAATCAGTTGTCGCGTTTATTGGGATGCCACATACATATGTACCCCCTGCTCCTGGAAGGGGAAATGGAACAGAGCAGAGCATTACGTGCAACAGCAGCGGAAGTTGTTTTTGAGGGCGCCTCCAGTTTGGCATTCTGCACAGCATTCAGCTCGGGCGGGCCATCTATTGTTCGTATTGAAATCCTCTCCTTATTTGTGGTGGCTGCTGCAATGGAGATGTGGCACCTCTTTTGCATTGCAATGAGGCAAGGCGAATGCGGAAGAGAACACAAGCGAAAATGCTACGAAGAAAGGTAGGAAGTGATTTCGGAATGCAAAATGAAAGCGAATGAAGGCGCATTCTTCATAAATATGGATATGAAAGAATGAAAGGCAAGAGAGAGACACTCAAGAAATTATTTGCCATTGAATGTTGTCTCGAATTACTCATAAAGGCAGCTAAACCAGCGGCCAGACCTTAGACATCAGCTCAAGGAACATTTGTGCTGACTGTCGCGCAGTTATGGTCATCCATTAATGGCCGAAAATGTCAACTGCTGTACAACTTTATTTGCGTGTTGCCCTTTACCCAGTTTCGCTTTTGCCTATTTGCCAAATGAGAATACAAACATGTTCCCTTTTGGCTTAGTTTTTAGCTGTTGTCTGAGCGTCAGAGGCAGACGCTAAGCGATAAAGTCCGCTAAGCAATTAAGTCTGAGTCTGAGTCTCGCTTTTTCTTGCTTTGTTTTCTCACCCCTCTCTTTGTCTGAGCAGAGTCCAATGTGGTCAAGACCAATGATTGGCCAAAGTTCAAGCCAGCTGCTGCTGCTGACGAAGACATCGCCGCCAGACGTCAACCCGGGAAACACTTGAGCGCTGCCAGCCAGCGGCAATTCAGTGCATTATCAGGTGCACTGAACTCTGCTCGATTAGATCATCAACCGGGCAGACAGAGAGTCAAACAGCCAGTCGGGCAGTCTCCCTGGTCTATTCTTAACCACCGGATGCTGCTGGTCAGGCACCAGGCAACCACAGTCGAATTTTGCTGTTTAAACTGAAATTGTATTTGCTGTGGCACGCAATTAAATGGCAGATCAAAAATCTGAAACCTCTTTAATTGCAGGTGAACTACCGAAACAGTTGACCTGTCGGAGAGAGCAAAGGTCGTTGCTGTCGACCCTCTTGGGTTGCACTCTCGCCGGAAGTGGCGGTCCATCCACTCTGCTGTTTGGGGTTCGCACATTTTATTTGCTTGGGTTCCTGCGGCTTGCCTTCTCGCCTGGCTAAATTCTCCAATTGTTTAAACTTTCCTCGACAGAGAGAAACAAACAAAAGTGGCGAGCGGACAGACAGATTTACAAGCTTTGAAAATTTATTTGTTTTGTTTTGTACTTCTTTTTTGGTTGCCAGAAACTTTTGCTGTTC